TGATATGTAAATTTGCATTATTGGGCACAAGAAAACAAGATTATCACCGTAAAATAACAATTTTTATAAATTACCATTCAATCTAAACGTGTTTATCAAATGAAATTAATTCAGTCACAAGAACGTCGAATCTGAATCACTTGAAAAAAACACGGGGGTGCTTAACTTTTTTCCAGGTGTATATAATGTATAATAATTGAAATGCGACTGTATTTTACAAAATACTAATCTACTAAAACAAATCCAAGACAAGTTACTTTGTACAGACCAAAGGCCAGTTTTATGTTATTTGATACAGTAACACGAGTGCAAATGAGCACATTGTGACTTCTGTATTGTTAGTCAGGCACGGTTGAAAGGTCAATATAATAAAAATAATAAATATATATAAATGTATAATGTTATGAGATTTAAGCTATTTAGTCTAAACATATGTTTTCATCTTATAATTTGTGTTCATTCGAAAATGAAAGAGGCACAATCTATATTTATTTCCTAATTTTTTATGGTGGTTGTGAGATTGGTCAAATCTACCAAGCCCATACAGAGATTAATTACTGAAAATAACAGCTAAAATATAAAAATTTTTATTAAGAAACATTTAATAACTATCTGGATATTATAAAGATTTTATATGTGAAATTTCAAAATTTTCTGATGCATAGAAGTATTTTTAATCTTCAAATGAATATTACTTTGCATGATAGATAGGCAACATGCAAAAAGAAAAAAATGACATGAGAAAAACATTGCTTTACAAACCTTAAGACTTAATAAAAGAATTTGATACTTGTGTATGAAAGCATTTGTAATGTTTACTGATAATCTGCCAAATTTTGTTAACATTGCTTACTAATTTAAAAGATATAGCATGAAAACTATAACAAGCACAAAAATGGTCATGAGCCCATGCTGAAAGAATTAATAGAAGATTTGTATCTTGCCCCAAAGGTTTTGTCAAAATGTTTTAAGAATTAGCAACAATCACTTTTTTTGTTCAAAAGTACTCCAACAAAATTTTAAAAGATTGCTTGAAAACAAAGTTGAATTTGGAGAAGAAAAAAAACCTGCCAATTTACATTTTCATTAATTACATTATGAACTTATAAAAAAATCTCATCTCTAAATTAATCTTACTACATTAAATAATATGAATATATACTATTTCCATAATTTTTTATTCTTTGTTTCTCACATACTAGAACTAAATGGAGTATTTATAATTCTCTTTCTACAGTACATGATTAATGTTATGATTCTAGTGCTTTAGTTTAATTCTAAAGTTATGTGGACCTTCAGTATTTGGAAGATGAGTTAAACTTTGCTTCTGAAGCTAACTGTATTAAACCTACCTGTATCCACTTGAGTGTAACAGGAAGAAACTTTATTATCTGGCAGTAAAGATCATCAAGATTTTCTAAAACAGTAGAATTGTTTTCATTTTCCTTCACAGTCACTCCTCCATCTAATTATGGTTCACAAGATTACCACAAACGTATCATTTACTAAATTAAAACCAACACGTTCTTATAATTTTTAGAAATGACACAGTTGATAATTTTTGAGTCACAAAAGCTCGTATAAGTACAGTTGAATTATTAATACAGCATGTCACCCAGAAAAGATTTATACAACTTAAGGTTTGGAAGATGATTTGTAGTTTTTAGATATGTACACATTTAAATGCTGTTATTCCAAGAGATAAATAGCTCTCTAACTTTTCAGCTAAATTTAACACTTAAGTTTTCTTCACATGGGTTTTAATGCCCAACTGACACGTCGTTTTCACATTACAATTTACCAAGCTGAGAGATGAAAATAATTCAAGTATTAAGTTCGGACAGAAAGCTGAAATGTCCCAAAACGTCCTTCCAAAATTGCACATGTCTAAAAACTAAACCTAACCATGCACATAATTTCCCAAGGTCAATATAATAAAAATAATAAATATATATAAATGTATAATATTATGAGATTTAAACTATTTCGTCTAAACATTTATGTTTTTGTGTTATAATTTGTGCTCATTCTAGAATGAAAGATGCATAATTTATGTTTATTTCCTAATTTTTTAAGGTGGTTGCGAGATCGGTCAAATTTACCAAACCCATACAGAGATTAATTACTGAAAATAACAGATAAAGTATAAAGTTTTTTCTTAAGAAATGTTTGATAACTATTTGGACATCATAAAGATTTCACATGTGAAATTTGAAAATTTTCTGATGCATAAAAGTATTTTTAATGTTAAGATGAAAATTACTTTGCATAATAGATAGGCAAGATGTGAAACGAAAAAAAAGGCATGAGAGAAACATTGCTTTACAAACCTTAAGACTTAATAAAAAAATTAGAAATTTTGCATATGAAAGCACTGTAATGTTTACTGATAAACTGCCAAATTTCATTAACATTCGCTTACTAATATAAAGGTTACAGCATGAAAAACTATAACAAGCACAAAATGGTTACGAGGTCAGTCCCAGGGACCGAGCCCGGTTTGAAAAAGTTAAACTTTCATGTACTGGCTATTGCCATTTCATGTATTAATAACTTTAAAAAGTGGCTGATTCAATACATTTGACTTTACTTAATAAGTACAAAAGAAGTTAAATGGATATTTTCGTTTTCATATCTTAAAACAAAAATGGTATAAATAAATAGTGTTTTATAATCATTACCTTGTTAAACACTGAATCAAATACTTTTATCCAGGACATTACAACTCATTTATTCCACAGTTAACGAAAATTTAAATAAATATAAACTATAATTCGAATTTACCTTTTGGAATTTCAATATCTATTTTGTGCATCTTATCTCTTAAACCATGATGTCGAAGTGAATTTCCTTCAGAGGAGAATTCTTTGAGCACATTAATATCTTCTTCTTCTTTAGAAGTTGAAGTCCTGTTTTCTATTTGTTGCTGATCTGGTTTAAAATGATTTGTTCTAACAACTGTTTTGCTATTTTCAATGGCTATTTCTGATGAGGGTAACAGCTGATTATTATCCTTTATATCCCTGGACTTTGATAAATCTTTATTTTTACAATATATATCTTCAGGATCTTCACATCCAGCAAAGCTAGTGCCACATTTGGTACCTGGATTGTCAGTATTATCTAATCTCAAAGTCTGTGTGACTGACTTTTCCCAGTCTGCTGAGGTGAAAAGTGTGTCTGGTGGAGGAAGTAAAAGTTGAAAACATGTTTCTAACTGTATAAGGATGTTGTAGATCTCTGGAGCCTGGTCTAGAACAACAAAAATATGATACATGTTATTCTTACAATGTAAAAATGCTGCAGACCTCTTGTGCTTAGTCTAAAACAACAGAAATACAAGTTTTTCTAACAAATTAAGGACACTATAGACCTCTAATGGCCCAAAACAATAAAAATACTATACACGTTTTTCTACCAATGTAAGGATGCTGTAGATCCTGGAACATGGTTTAAAACAAGAAAAATATTATACATATTTTTCTAACAATGTAAAGAAAATGCAGATCTATTATGCTTGGTCTGAAAAAACAAATACACCATACACCATGTAAAAAATGTTGCTTGGTCTGAATTAAACAAACAAACAAAAAAACTACATTTCCAACTGTGTAAGGATGCCACCCGTCTCTGGTGCCTGGTATGTAAGAACAGAAATATGTCTCTGAAAGTTAGGGGCATGGGTTTGGTTTTGAAATATAAACCCCCACTTTGTGAAAACAGCAATAACTTCATGGTGAAAATTAAATTTTCTGAAAAAGTTTGTAAAAACAAATTAGTCATTTTCAGAATTTTTTAAGCTAAATATTTGAGTCATACTGTTCTAAGGAAAACTTTTATCAATAACCACATATACCCAATTTATAAAATTACCAATTTTGTGAAAAATTAGCATTTAATAATTTGGTAAAAATAATCCCTTTTAATGGTCTTATTTCAGGCAGAGTAACAGCCAGTTGAACAAGTTTCTAATGTGCAAGGACCTAGAGTGTCTGGCCTATAAAGCAGGAGTGAAAGTAAGTTCCTAAAAATGGAAGTATGGTGAAATTTTCTTGTAATTGATCTAACAAAGTATCAGAAACATTAAATGTGTCTTCCTATCAATGCCGTGGATCAATAGCACTTGGTTCATACCAAAAGAAAAATTTGGTACACTGTAGCTTTTGCTGTCTGCTCTGACAGACTAACAGAACCATTTAAACTTGTTTTTCTATCATTTAAAAGATGGAGTAGACATTTCTGTTGCTTTATCCTTTTATAATAAGAGAGAAATGTCATTGTTTTTTTTTATCAATGTGAAAATGATGCAGATCTCTAATATTTGATCCATAACAGCATAAATATGTTTCAGTACATGTAAGAGCATTAATTTTTTGTCTAATCTGAAAGATTAACAAAGATAGTTGAATAGGTTTCTGTATTAGAATGCTTGAATTCTCTGGCTAAAAAGTTTGAAATATTAATAAAGAGTTTAAACATATTCACAAATCTTTCTCAGTTTAACACATATAATTACATAACCCTTTGAGTTATAACAAAGTAATTTTTCTTTGTATCAACAGACTCCTGCTGACTTGAAAATGGTAGAAACTATAAAGTTAAGCACGAAGAATCTAATTTAATAAAAAATAATATACTAAGTCAAACATATACATGAATTACACTGCACATGTAAAGTATAATCACATTTCTAATGTTACAATTACACAGACTTCATGTTAAGATCTCATCATTAAGAGTGCACTTTTACTGAGTATTAGGGAAATCCAGTCAAGGAAAAAGATAGTGAACTGGAGAAATATTCATGTATAAAACAGTTTGATTTAGAATAGCATATATCTGGTAAGAATTTTAAGTGACAGTTTAATAAATACCTTTTGCTAACAACAAGATGAATACTACTTTTAAATCAACACTGGAGAATCAGTTATCATAGCTGATAATATACCAAAGTGTACTAATAAGTGGAAAATAGTCAGCATCTTAACCTGAAGTTATACAGTAAAGGAAATGCTGACAAAGTACATACTGAGAATGAAAACTGAAATAAATTGGATACTGAAGGCTAAAATGAGTGGTCAAGTGGACAGCAGACTAAAAAGCTTACAAACAATGACAGTGTCTAAGTGCTCGAGAAAAGTACAGTATAACATATATTGTAAGATGTTCAACAGAATTCCATAGAAAATTCCATAACTCGTTTCTAATTTCTAAACCAAATGACAGAGTTAGTTAGAACCAGAGTTAGCTGCTCAGTTCAACTGTAAGCTATCTTTACAGATAAGCTATTATTGCTATTTTGTGGCAAGACAGATGAAGTAAGATTTGAGAGAAAGCTCTTGTATAATAATGAATAGGAATTCTAATTTTACTAAGCTGCTTGAACCATTTAATAAATCTGTTAATTGTTCTTCTTACTTTTCATGAATGATAAGTTTCTTGTATTCACGTTTTGTATTCTATAGTTGGTTTTGTGAATTCTGACTCTGCTTCCTTGTTTCTCATATACTCTTCCTCTAAACTTTTTGAAGTTGACAACCAATGTAAAGTTTAACAAATGTATCTTCCTGGTATTTTAAATAAATACGTTTTGTCACTGGTTCATTATTGTATAGTACCAAACACGTTACACTATGATAAGGTAAAATCATTGTTATAAAATAAAGTGAATCATCCCCCAGTTCATTTCTATCAAAATCAGATATGATGATCAGTCATGTGATTTAAAAAGAAAGTAATCGATCATTCTACCTATATAATGGTTTCATATAATCTGGTCTCAATTATCACTCTGAAATGTGTAAAAAAAGGAGATAAAAATACTTCAAAATAAAATTATTCATGAACCATGGCTACATCTCTGAGAAGACACCTGGATGTTATACTCACGTGGAGAGCCACTGGAGAAATGGTAGTTAACTCTCTAATATGGGTTCAGTCAATTTGACCAATCATGTGACCTCTTTATACTCATTTAAAGTCCTTATAGATTTAATGCTTCTAACTTTCAATAGTGTATATCTTCACAAAATTTGGCAGTCTTTTGGTTAATATTATAAGTCTTTCACATACAAAAAATCACATTCTTTAGTGAAATATTTTTAATAAAATAAAATAAAGATTTGTCCATGAATATATTGAGTATTTGTTTTGAACAGTTCGTGTGCAAAGTAATTTTCATGTTAAAAATAAAAATACTTTTCCTCATCTCAAAATTTCTTTGTTTATCCCATAAAACCTCCTAAATGCATTTCAAACGTTTTTTTTTCAGTGAAACTTTATACTTTCTGTTATTTTCTCTGCCCTATCTCAAAACAGGATTGGTCAATTTGACAGCCATTGTAACCACCACCACACACACACAACAAAAAAAACAAAAAAAACAACTAAATTACCCTTTTTTTCTTTCTAGAATGACTTCAAATTGTAATATGAAACTACATTTGTTTAGCCTAAGTAGCTCTAGGTTCGTAACAGTATACATCTATTCATAATTAAATTTTATTATTTTATTGCCCTTTGAACCGTGTCTAATTACTATCCGCACCATTATAAGTTGTAAATTACTCGGGAACATGCAGCTCATATTATGCTAACAAATTACATTAACCACGAGCTGCTCACATGTGTGCCTTGTGAAACATTTTTTAAAATATTATTATTATTTATTTTACTTAACCTAATCTTAACAAATCTAAAAGGATCCCTATTTTACATTTTAGTTACTTTTATAATTATACATAAAGAATAAACAAGAAATAAAATACTTAACCAATCTTCTTTTTTCCTGCTGTCAACTGTCGAAGACAGTTAACCCTAATTTTTTATACCAATGATAGTAATGCACTTAATTTTATTTAATTAAATAATGCACCAAAGAATATAGATTAATAACAGGCAAAAAGTAGACAAATTCCCTTACCTCTCAAAATCTTTTTGGCTTTCTAACTATACTACAAGAGCCATTACAAATTCATCCAAGCTAGTTGTTAACTTTCTCATGGAAATAATGTTGGTACTCTGAGAGAAATTGACATCTTACTGTTCAGAACATGATGTTATACAATACATTGAGATTAAAAAATGCTTTTATGCATTATATACTTTTACATTTAAGATGTGTGTAAAATTCTGAAAATAGTTTTACGTGCTACATAAACTTTTACTGGAAAGATAATAGGTTTTGTATGGTATCCATTGTGGATGATATTGTCTGTTGTACCAGGCTAAGTACAAGTGAATTAGCGTGGCGTGGGTCATTTATTCAGTTTAGTGTGCAAGGTTTTTTTCTTGAGGACTTTTCTTGAAAAGCATTTTAGTGTGAAGGCTATTTGCTTCGTGACTTTTGAGGAAAAGTGTTTGTTTCTAACAAACTAATTGTGAAGTAAACTGTACTGCAACACCAACAAAGAAATTCTCCATCTTATGGTGAACTTTTTCTCAGCGATATGTAGTGCTGGGTGGGCAGAACGAGCCCTGGCCAGCCCCGCCGACCATAGCTACAACCATGGCTATAGCCGATGTTTAAATACAACTAAATAAAGCATATAATAGACTATTTACATCAAGCAGAGTAAATAAAGTTGTTACAGCAGTAATTTGTGAATTCTAAAGATATTGACTAACTGGAGCTCATGTTGGGGGTGAACCTAATGGGAAGTTTAAAACACGTGGAAACAAACCACATATCTGGGATTTTTTTTTATAGTTTCTTTAAGACAGTTTTTTCATTCCTGAAAATGTTTTCATCTTAAATTATATCCGTTCCAAAACTACAGACATTTTCTTCTATGACAAGACTACCATCTTTTTTTGAATTAAAGCCACAAGTGGTTACTACTATAATAAGCAAAATAAAACATTGAAAAAATTGGTTAATAATGTCAATCTAGTTGAAACTGACTGGATGTATAAAATGACACTTTCCATTAAACAATAAAAAAATTGAAGTTCTTAGACAAAAACAAGTATTTCTGTTTTTGTTAAACAGTGTCTCACAATAAAATTTCACACCTTACAAATTATGGAAATGCTAAATCCGACTATATGCAAATTTTTTTAAAACTAAAACTAGATACTTTTTAGTAAGTTTGCACTACATTTCATGCAATTTAGTTAACTATTTCCATTGTGAGAGGGAAATAACATAATCAGGGGATGTCAATGAAACCTCTCTAGCCTAGAAAGGGTTAAAATGTACCTTGCATTTCTTTCTGGGCTCTGTTAACTTTTTCTTGCATGATATTTTCTAAATGCTGCCTCTGTTCCTCCTCTTGCTGAAGTTGTGCATGATTTCGGGTGTCAATATGATTGAAATCAACCTATAAAATTATACATATTTATCACATTATTTAAAATAAAAACATAGTAGTTTATACCTTTCAAACTGAAATTCTTAGGTACAAAAATTATATTTAGTTAAGTAAGTTTGATATAAGACACTAAGCATACTCCAGTGTATGAATAGCTTACATAAATCTTTCTCAAAAGAATTTGTTATTTGGAAAGCATAACAGAAGATAAACCATTTGGATAAAAGTTAAAAAAATATGTGTACGTATTTGTATAACTTTGGTTTCAGTTTCTTGATAGGTAAGGTTTCTTTGAAGTTTACATCCTGTTAATTGTTTGAACTACATATTATTACAAAGTTGTTTTCATATGCAATTCCATCCAAAATTCTTGGTCTAGATGTCTACAGATATTTGAAGAATTACCAGCATCACACTTTCATTGCTCTTTTATACATAGCTCTAAACAACTTATGGTTGATCCTTAATAATCTCATTCACACCAAGAACAAACATATCACTAAAACAGCATAAGGGTATTTATATTTTTTAATTCTGTCCTTTATCGTGGAAAAGATTTCTATTCTCAACATAGATCTTCAAGCTACATACACTAAAATTTGAGGATACTTTGATTTCAAGATATGTTTACAGCATGTAAAACAGCATCAGATGGTTAATGCTTGTAATTCTTCAAGCATCTAGACAAAGAATACGAAGGGACTGCAGATGAAATAAGGTTAGAAATAGTATGTAGTTTCAACAAGATGTAAGACTCCAGTTAATATTAGCTACCAAAAAAACTGAAAATAAAAGTTGAATGTTAATTCTTCAGCAATTGGAATCTTTTTTCAAATGCATTTACATTAAGTTCCTCAAACAATATTTTTACATAAAAAGTCTAAGCAAGCTAACTGAAATAGACTGTAGTCTTTAAAAAATTAGTAAAGAAATATAATTGTTCATTTTTCATATTTCACTACAAAAACAACATTTATAAATCTTCATTAAAATTTTTCAATTAACACTGATAACAGATTGAAATTAAGTTTGGTTTAGCCATTTATATTTAGATTTGATATGCACTTTTAAGGTAGTTCTGTAGTCAGATGAACACTCAAAATATTACAAATATTCAAATCATCAACTTATTGTGTTAAATATAATTCACTATGTGTGTTACACCAACCTTTTTGCATTGTCTCAAGTAATTATAGGCAAGGGCAAGTTTTTTGTAACCTTGGCTATACTCTTGGGTCCATTCTTGTACAAGTTCTAGTGTCTTTAGTTTTAAATCTTTGGCAATATGCTGAAATTAAATTGGTATTTATATTAGTAACCACAGTAACCTACTTAGAATTACTGACAGTAATTAACATACATTGAGCAGTGAGAATATGTCTACATTAATGAAAAAACATTTAACATATTCTAATGAGTGCAAGGGCCCCAAGTTTATGCATGATAGTGGTTTTCTGCATAATTTCATTATGACTGCATAATGTGTGGTTGAATACATAATCAAGATCTGATTTCTAGAGTGAGTAAAATATGGGTCAGTGTTACCAGTTTTATATCTTTTGACTTAGTTTATTACTTGCTGCTTGGAAGGAGGTACCTGCTGGCCAGCCTAATTAATGACCTGTCAAAAAACTTCTGAAGTCTAAACATTTGTTTGTTGTTGTCATAAAAACAGGCCCTAAATTGATGTTGATGGTGGAATTACAATAACTGTCTAACACTTTAAAAGTGTTTTAAGCTGTTTTTAATTTAAAATTTTGCTGTATAATTAATGCATACTTTAATTTTTTTCAGCTAATTGGAAATTTTATGGTCCACAGTTTCAAAATGTTAGCTGCATAATTTTAATTTTTGGTACATAAAAATAAAGGCTCTAAAATGGTGTTTTTTTGTATAGTTTGAGACTGTTTATACATGCCATGAAAACATGTTCACTACTATAGTTAAAGAGTTTGTTTATACTGGGCATGAATAAATATTAACTGTAATCTTGTGTGGATAGTGTACATTAATATAAAGTTTGAGAATGTGATATTGCTTTGTCATGAAGAAACATTACATATAGTTTTATTTTCATGTGACTTACGGCAATCCAGTTTGAAGACATACTTTTGTTGTATTATGAAGAAATTTAGCTTTATTCTGATGTTATTACACGATCTGACGAAGATCGCTAGCTCGAAACGTCATCTGTCTTTCAATAAAAATATAAAACAATTTGTTAAACCTATTATTTAATTTTTTACATGAAGGTCTAGTTGCACTATGCCCTAAAACATTTCATTTTTATTCTAAAAACTGTTCTGATAAGAAACGGAATCGTAAGATTTTGAAATTAATGCATTTCTAAAGTTATTAATATACCTTTTTTGTGCATCGAAGAAATATAAGCTACAATCTGCTTAACTGATTGTTATTAGCATATAATATAAAAATGGTAATTGTTGTCTTAAGGCAGGTGTTTCCAAATTTTGTTGGCTCAAGACTGTCATGACATTAAGTACCCGGAGTGAAAACCCTGAACCAATAAATACATGTAAATAAAGTAAATTGCTTTCATCTAGGTTACTGTTGTCTATTTTGTTCTTCTTACAATCACCTTCTTGAAGCCCGGTATGGCCTTATGGTAAGGGCACTTGACTTGTGATCTGAAGGTTGAAGTTTTGAATCCTGGTGTCAAACATGCTCATTCTTTTAGCTTTTGGGGGTGTTATGATGTGACAATCGATCCCACTTTTCATTGGTAAAGAGTAGCCCAAAAGTTTGCAGTGGGTGGTTTTGACTAGCTGCCTTCCCTTTAGTCTTTCACATCTAAATTAGAGATGGCTAGTACAGATAGTCTTCGAGTTGTATTTCAAGAAATGCAACAAACAAATAAATAAATAATCACTTTGTTTTGTTGTTATAGTTGTGCATACTGATAGAATTGGATTTTTAAAGTATTAGAATTATGTGCTCTAGTCTCCAATAAAAGAACCATATCACAGCATTCCCCAGGGCTCCTTATCCTCAGTTTGGAAACAGCTGTCTTTATAAAGTATTATCAGCTGTATTCTAGTGCAAAAATATGACTGACATACAATTTATACATGTTATAGTTTGAGAAAATGTTATGTTATGAGGAAATATTAGCATTATTCTAGATGCTTTTATAACACAAGCCTATAATCACGAATTAATGCATTTAAGAGAAACAATTTTCAATGAAAAAATTCCATGAATGAATATAAATAGTGGTTCTAGAATCACAGTTCAAAATATACCCAGACATAAACAATTTTGTAGACAATTTTTCTGACATATGTTTGCAGTAAAACATGACAAAAGTAAACACCTTAAGTATGTTTGTGGTTTATTCCTCCCCCCAAAAAACAACATAAAGTAAACTAGCAGCTATAAATGCTGTAATAAAAAAAGAGGAAAATGCCCCTATATTGTCACCCAGTAATTTAAACCTAGTTATACATACTATTACAATTAAAAACACTTCTTAAACTAAGTCACATAATATTACATAAAACATGGTAAAAAAATACTTTCCTAGTATGTAACTAAATACATACATAAGTTCAGATACTCCTTTCATCTAATATTCTTTTTTCTCAAAAATTTCTCTCTTTCCCACCCAGTAGCAGATCTATAAAATTTGAAACTTATGAGCATGTCAAACATGATAAGTTTAACTTTTACCTTTGGGGGAGGGAGATGTTCATCAGGATTAGTTTCTGCTGCAAGGTCCAGGAATGTCTGAAAGTTTGACAGAAGTAGCTCCCTAAATACATGGGATCGTTTGAACAATTCTTTGATAACAAGAACAGTACTGTAGCGTATCTCAGCATGCTGTTTTTCCAACTGTGTCATCAATAAGTAATATGCATGCTTCACATACTCATCTGAGGTTCTGAAAATGAAACTCAAATATGTAATTTAAAGCCACTCATAGCAAAAAAGAAAGTTATTTTACCAGTAGAAAAAAAACACTGTTAAAGCCCGAGACGAAATGCATATTATGACCAAGATTACCTCTAATATCTTAATCTCTATAAATTATACAAAAATATTTTATGCAGAAAATAAAGCTTTAAAAGAAACTGCTTATACCCTAAAATGTATACAGTTAAGATTTCAACTGAAATTTTCACTTAACAATAAGGGTATCCAACTGATGAAACATGACATTCTAATCTTTGTAAGTACAAATATAAAAATAAAATATTTAATTGGCTATACTGTGTTTGATTTTTAGTTATGACCTATGAAGGTAGCTTGTTTCAATCAGAAGTTAATAATAATTTTTGTTCAATGATGTATTAAATGCTACAATAATCTAGGTGATGTACATCCTTTACAGTATACTACTACTGTCTTTTACACTGTGCAAAAAATATTACACTGCAATAAATGTTTCAACCTCAATACTGAAACAATTCAAACAGCACTAAATATGCATTAAAAATTGAAATACTTTCAGACAAATTTTTCAGTTATTTAAAAAAATCCATTTTCTAATAAAATATTCAGAAAATTAAACTTAAAACATTACTTTTATAAATAAAATTAAAATAGAATCTAAAGAACTTAATGTTCAAATGTCCTCCCATTGGACTTGTTTAGAATTTTGTTTCATGTTTTCACAGTTGGCTATTACTGTACAGTAAGGTTTTTTTTATTTCTTTTTTCCATTATACTTTGATTTTTAGTTGGTTTATCCAGCCATAATGCATTGTCCCTTTGAATCTCCTTGATGTATCAAGTTGTTCCTTTCTTATATTATTACTGTGCAAAGCTTTAATTTTTGAGTTGCTTTTTAAATACTTTAATTTACAAGAAAATATAAATTCTGTTCTAACAAAAATATGCTCACTTTCAACAATAAAATCCATAAGATCAGTTAAAAATTGTAAATACACAGTTCAGTTCCATGAAAAAAAAAAGTCATCTCGTTCACCTTTAAATATAACATAAGGTAAGGAAGTTCGTCTAAACATTTATTTATGTAATACCTTTGCAATAATTTACTTCACATTTGGTGACTAATCTTTATATAGTAATTCTTTTAAAACCAAAACATTTGAATACTTTTACATACATTGTGCAATAACTCCAAAAGTTTGATCCCTGATATAATAAAGTAATTACATAAAATTTTTCAAAACTGATACCAAGATGTGAAATAGATTCAATGTGCATTCTCAATGTTATGTTGGTCAAATATTTATCAATGGAGTCTATTTCAATAAAAGTAGTACTACTTCTATATTATTATTGCATTAACAACATGTACTTGCAAAGCTTTTTCAACTTTTTAAGTTCCACTTCATTTAGCTGCTTTCCTCCTTGAGTGGTGAGGGCTTCTACATGTCTAGACAGTGCTTCACATGCTTGGGTATCAAGCAGTGACATCTAAGATTTCAAAAAATTATGTAAAAACTTTTTGTGGCAAATAATTCAAAATTGTTACTATACAAAAAAATTCCTAAATAAACAGTACAATAACACATTACCAAAAATAAGGATGTTAATAGTACAGTCTGCAATAGCTGCTTTCATTGTTAATTATCATAAGATATGGACACAAGGGACCATGTGGTCTTTCAAGGGCACCCTTTCACACCCACACTTGAGTAAATCAAAAATTTAGATCCACTCTATATTTTTCAGGAAATCATCAAATTCACTCTTAAAAAATTGTAAAGTGTTGGCTTCCACTATTACTGATGGTAGACAACCCATTCAATCTATAAGCCAATCAACCTTCTAGAGAAACATCACCTTTTCTCAAGAGTAAATCACAACCTATCCCTACAACATAACTATTTCCAATAAGCCAGTATCCTTTCTTAGATAAGGATATCAAATTGTACACAGTATTACAAGTAAGGCCTAACTAGTAATGTGTACACTGTTACATACAGAATTACCTCTATTGACTGCTAATCAATATTCCTATAGATACACCCTAAAATTCTATTAGGATGGAAGGTCTATCTTACAGTTATGAATTAAGATTTTTTTTTCTCTAGAGAAAAGTAAGAGGTGATCTTATTGAAGTTTACTAGATTATCCAGGATATTGATATTTGTATTATATTATACTCCTATAGTTTCATTACTACTTTAGGCCAACCACAAACCTGAAGAAGTTAAAAAAGAAACAAAAACTAAGAAAGTAATAAGTAAATAACGATAAAGCCCCCACCCCCCTCAAAAAAAAATGAAAGGAAAAAATATGGACCCTAAAGAAATATGGTCTGGTCAAATAGTTATTGTCACATTTACATCAATCACTTATATTGACATTTGGCAAGACAACTGAAATATAAAAACTTGCAATTTATAAAACAAGCATTTCTTCACACGAAAATGTACCTTTTTGCTTTCTTCTCAATGTGACTTCTTACAAAGACTGGTAATTACATTATTTACAAAACAATTTTTTAATGCTATTAAATATTCATCTAAAAATACAATAGTTATAATTTTTCCTGTTGAAATAGTTACCATTTGACTAAATTATATTAGATATATGGCAGTGAACAGAGTGATACTTAGTATGTTAACTCGCATTTACATGTAACAAAAGTAGATACAAGTTGTGCCAAAATACTAAGTGCCACTTTTTATCCTAAGCCTACTACTACTCTATTACAATCTGATCATTGCATCAGTACTATTAGTATTACTACTACTACTAGTATAGTAGTAGTATTAGTGCATTAGTATTAGCATTATTACTTAAAAAATACAACAAACAAAAAAGGCTATGTAACTTCCCAAAAGTTTTCAAAACTACAAGAATATTGCATAGAGTTTTGGTCTCATTATCCTAGAAAGCATATTGTCTAGGTGGAAAAAATTCAAAGGAGAGCTACTAATAATAGGATGATTCCAGGGATGGAAGGGTTACTTTACAGAAATACTATAGGTTAAGATCTCTTTATTTTTCTCTTGAAAAAAGAAGGATTAGATGTGTTTTTACTGAAGGTTAGAAGATTATTTGAGCAGTCAATAGTATAAAAGCTTCAGATTTCGTTCTATATTCTCAGACAACAACAGGATAAGAAGACAAACGTTAAATTTAACAACAAGCTAGGCTGCAGTAACATAGTTATATTTAATTTATCTAACAACAACTTGTGGAATGAATTTCTGTCAGCAGTACCAGTAGTGGAGGCCAGCACTTTTCACTTACAGGAAATGGGGAATCAATGATCTCCTGAAAAATTAGTAGTGTGTATATATTTTCTCAAGGTTAAGTGCACAAGTATAACCTTGAAGAACCAAATACTGCTTTGAAAAGGGGGATCAGAAGAAGTCTATTAGTACTAGGAATAGGATAACTCCGAGGATGGAAGGGCTATCTTACAGTTATGGATTAAGATTTGTTTTCTCTAGAGAAAAGTAAGAGGTGATCTTATTGAAGTTTACTAGATTATCTAGGATATTGATATTTGTATTATATTTTGAAGATAATAGGATGAAATTGACAGTCACAAGTTTAGGATGTAGAGAAAAAAAAAGACAGGCCAGGTATCAGTTTTATTTTGGTTGTGGAATGAGTTGCTGTCTACGAAACCAGAGGCTGACACTTTACAATAGCTTAATTTTAAAAAGTTAATAAATGATTTCTTGAAAAGAAAAGCCATGAAAAATTGTCATCTTTTGCTTTTTCAAGGGTGGAATTAGGACAGTTTTATCCAAAAATTGCTAGGCCTAAATACTTTTTTTTTGCATAACTTAGTACTAGTACTACATACTGAATACAGTAATTTAGAAACTAGACTAAAATCAAAACTTTTATTATTATTATTAATATTAACGTCTAGTCTATGCCTCTCATAGCGATGTAGATAAGGAATCTAATTTATAAATATAATAACAAAATAATATTATTATTAAACACAAGTGGTACTTTTTTCGGACTTCCAAGTTACACAGCTTTATTCGTATATTTGTTTACAAGTAACAACGTTAATTGTATTTAGACCTGTCAGCTTTCACATATTGAGAACGTTACTTTGTTTGGCTTAACTATGCAAGTTTTTTTTTAATTATACTTCCTTTGCAACCCCACAATTTACAAGTACTGCGGAAACCTACCATTCACCTTGTTATTGTTAATTTTGTTTTTTGTCGATCCCCTATACAGACGACAGCACAAACTTGAACTTGTTCATACGTGAAGTGTTAAGGCATGTATTTACGCCACAGAAATAACTGTTAAATTAATTTTATTTTCAATTTGAAATTAAATAAGCCATGCCTGTACATTGTCGTTATCACATGGTCGGTTCTAACATCGTTACCGTAGGTTTAAAAACTTTAATGGGTTGCAACTACCTATTGTTTATTTGTAATTAAATAAAGACGAAATTGCATAACTAAAAACCTGTGATGGGTTCACCACGGGTGTCGACGCGGTATGAGTTATAAGTTTAAAGTAAAAGAGACGACGTTTCGGCTTCTATACTGAGGCCTTCTTCAGTTTTTTTTTAAAAATATTTCCAGCAAATTGTTTTAAAGTTTTTATAGTGTAGAAAAATGACCGATTTGTGTGGGACTTGGTCTTTTTGTGAGTGTTGTGGAATCTTGTTCTTGGCATTAGATATTGTTACGACAGCGAAAGTCACGTGACTCTGATGGCGCTGGTGGGCGTGCGTGATAAGTTTCTGGAATGATCGGGGAAGTCCTCGTGTGTTCGAGATGCCCTCTTCGTTCATATATAAGCCTCGCAGGGAAAGCCAGCATGAATGAAAAGAGAGCAGTAGTTACTTGGAGTTCCGTATAATTTATGATTCTGTTAGTTTCGAACTAGTGAGCCATAAAGTGTGTGTTTTGCACTCATCGAAATTATCGAGATTGTGAATCGATGTGATTTATGTAAAGAGTAGCACTCAGGTGAGCTTAATTGTTGGAGCTTCAATTAAAACTGCTCGTTACACCAAATTTATTTATTGGAGGATTTGTCGTGACGAGTGGAGCCACAAGTAGCTAACTCGAAGAGTTTACAGTTAGACTAAAGAAAACGAGTCTCAGGCCAAGAGTAAACACTCAAAATAACATTTATTTAACATCAATTAATTCTTAGCAAACATTACACACTTGAACATTAGTTTTATCAAAATTATTACTTATAAAAAATTTAACTGCTTACGCTTATTATTTTCTACACTAGCTGATTAAGAGAGAGAGACTATACTTACAGTAGAGTTGGAGTATTAGAAGCCTTTGCTACGTTGTTAAACTTCACTTTCATTTTGGCCTGGAGAACTTCGGCAGAGAACTGCTTCCTGGAGAACTTTCGTCAGTCCGGGAGAACTTTTTTCAGTCTGGGAGAACTGACTTTCAGTTTCTGACATGGGTTTTTAAACTCTATTTTCCTTGTGTTAATTCGACCCACTAAATAGGACACAGCATCACCCACAAGTAGTCCTGTGCTCCTATTGGGTACTTTAGGGGAATTCCCGGGCTAAACCAGAACCTAAACCAAAACTCTCAAGTAATTGGTCAAAGATAAGTGGTGTTAGTCGGCCGCCTATTCACTTGTACTGCTACACCCATGTGCTGTAACTAATACCACCTCAAAGTGCCAATATGATTCACCAAATCTAAACTTTTCTGCTGCTTTCCTAGTGCTAAGAGGACGAGGTCAACAGTTTGTTACGCCTCCAGTCGTTAGTTAATTTTCCGTAAATTCGTTCCGACGAAACTTTAGCGACACAAGTCCTTTCTTAAATAAAACTGGGTTATTCTTTCTGAATATAACTTTGCGATACACTTAATTTCATCAGTCGCGCTATAACAAACGTCTCATGAGCTCGACTTCAACAATACTCCGTTCAATTACACACTCTCTGACTGCAGTTCAATTACTCATTACACTGTTGTCCCGTCACGTTGTGAACGTCTTATATATACAAGACTACACTATATCTAGAAGGATCACGAGATTTCTAGAAAGAGGTGGCGTGATACTAGTCACGTGACCTCGCTGACGCAACAAATTCTTCAAACTGTCACATGTACTGGTGTCTACATCCTATTTCTATGCAGCAGTTCTTACTTACTCTGCTGCTTACCTTGGTCACTGGTTTCCAAGCTCGCCTCTCAAACTTATTTCGGGTAATGCACGTGTCTTGTTGCTTGTTTCTAGGCGATGCTCCTTACATAACCAAGTTCCTGTTTATCAGTTCTCAAGGTTTATTTCGTAACACAGGCGTCTTCTTGTCGCCTCTTTTTTCTTTTTATATCTACCTTTGCCTACTTGCTTATATTAAAAACCCTTAAGCTTTTATTACATGTAATTTCAACTACTAAAACTCTTGAAGCAATTTGTAAAATTTCCTCAAAAATTTCAAGTTGCTTAATTTATAGGTGTATTATAAAAGTTGTTAAGTTTAAA